AACGCTGGATTGATCACCATCTTGCGCCTGTTGAACTCTACGAGGCTGACGGCATTCTGAGCCATCTTACCACAGTTCCAGCATTCTCGTGGGCCACCTTTACCGCCACCTTGTCCTTTTCCTTTTCCACACCCTTGACCACCCTTGCATTTGTCGTTCTTTCCTTTTCCTTTATCACCTTTCTTCCCTTTTCCTTTTCCTTTCCTTTGGGAGTCCAGCCTCCCTTTCCTTTCTCCCCCTTCTTTCCTTTCTCCTTGCCTTTTCCTTTGCCTTTGCCTTTCCACCCTACACGATCCACATCCATAGGAGTGAGCTCACTGCTCCTATGGCTTTCAACACACGCTCTGTACTCCAGCTCGAAGAAGTACGCTCAAAGGCAAGCGTGGTGTCTCTCAACTTCTCACACGTACTGATTTCAGAGACCTGCAATTGAAGATATCGATGAATGTCTTCAGGGAGTCCAGCTAATCGCGTAGAAATCTTGAGATCATCGCTGTACTTTTGACTGCTAACCCTCTCGTACTCAGCAATCAATCTTTCAAAGGTCAGGGTCCATTCGAGAAGAGATGTACTATCTTTGTACGGAGGATACTTGATCAACGACTGAGCTAAGGCTAGTGATCTTGGTCGTGATGCAGGCTGAAGTTCATCGTGTAGGCGACGCCAGACTCTAAAGCCACATCCAGAAGCCTCAGACTTCAGGAGCTTAAGGCTTCGTCCTTTTAGATGCGTCGCCAAAATCGCGTACAACCTTTCACTACGGCTCTTCATTGGAGGAGTGTAATCTGACAGAGCTGACCATGTCTCTGCTGTCTCGCATTTCTCAAAGTCATCACGATACGAAGAGTCCTGCACAACAATGAATGCCTCAAACTGGAAAGACCAGTCAGGCCATCCTGAGATCTCTTCCTCTAGGTTCTTTGCCGAGAAGATTTCAGGAGACTTGGTCAACTTTGACTGACGCCATGAAGAAGTAGAACTGGATCCCGTAGCTGTAGCAAGGGCTGAAACCGCACTAGCCAGATTCTGAAGAACAAGTTGGGCATCTAAGACTGCAGGGGCTACACCACCTGCTGTTGGACTTCCAGTTGGGCTCTGTCCAGGCTGAGACATTGCGCTACGATCTTCGCAGCCGGCTCAAGGCTCCTTCAAGGCTCTCCTTCGCGTAGCGAACGTGTAAGGCACAATCAAGAACTGGCCGCCACTAGCAAACTTTACGCGCAGCACCAGGAGCTTGCAACCGCGCTGGCAGCACAGCGTGGGCGAGGGCTATGTAGCAGGCTGGGAACAACTAACCAGGGGCAGCGATCTACCTACCTAGACAGCACTAGGAGGGCACGGGTCCTGCCCTCAACACGAGGTCTGGGCCCAGCCTCTCCAGGAGCTCCGGTATCCAAAGGATGAACCTTCACAGCTCCGCTACCATAAAAACTCAAACCCAAAACAAAGTCAGGTTCCTTTTGCAACTCACTTTGAGCCTTGATGTAGCAACGCAGTCTCAGCTAGCTGGAAAACAACAAAAGTCGGGGACCAACAATCCACATGACATATGTCCTTTACACGCCAAAGCGGATGCTCTCAAATGTTGTTAACGTGGCTATAGACCCGTTTATCGATGGTGGCCACGAAGCTGTGCCAGATCTGCAGGGCGACGAAGAAGATCAGGCGAAATCCGCCAGAATTTGCCTGGTTCCTCTTCCGCGGCGTCGCTCGCCGCCAGGACTCTGCTGCAGGAGTTCCACCACAGCTCACACTTCCTCTTTAAGGCTTGGTTGCAGGGACTGCCTGGACTCCAGCTCGGGCGTCCAACGCGACCGTGCTGCAGCTGGCGGTCCTTATAATGGCCTGCAACCCTCCTGCGCCCACTCGCCAAACATTCCCAACTCCAAAAAAAATTGACGCAAAGCGCGGGCCTGGGTGACGCTCGACACCACATCCTGGACCTTCCGCACCAAACTATCTCTGACAAAGAAAGTGATGGTTTCTTCGCTCAGCGCTGCAGCCAACTCAAAGCCCAGCTCTAAAAAAGGGTACCTTCCGCCGCCATCTGCTGCCGTTTTTCATCCGAAAAAAGGAGCGTTGAGAACTCGGGGCCCACTGGCCGGAACCCTTGGACGAGGCCCATTCTCAAATATGGGAGTCATCGAAATATGCTGAGATGAGAGCCCACACCAGTCTTCTTCCAGCAGCCTCGACGAAGCGGCTAGACCGGTTGAACGAGTCACGGCCAACGGCAGGCCGAAGAGTAGGCCAGTGTAAATTTGGTAGGCCGGCTCCGCCCACTTTTCGCGCCAAAAGGCGCGGCACGCCAACGAGGCATCGGGCAGTGGCGACACGCGTCCGGCCGCCGACCAATCCTCCGCGCCATCTGTCCTGGGCCTCGCGGAGCTGGTCGCTCGTCAAGAAGCTCATAGCCACTGCAATCTGGCAGAAGTGGAGATCTGTTGGGGTCAACGCTCAGATCTGATTGACCCGCAACATCTGCGTTGTCTATGATCCGCTGTTTCCCGGCGCTTTGTGTCGGTCAAGTCTGATCTCGGACCCTGCTTGAGACAAGCTGCAGCCCTGCAGCAGGGCTTTGCGGCTCCCGCTGCCCGACAGCGGCCTGCCACGCAGTGGAATAACACGCTTTCGGCGGGCCTCTTTGAAACTTGCACACTGACGTTTGGGAAGTTTGGGAATAGGCGCCAATTCTGTTCTGTCGGGAGCGGCTCCAAATAGAGTCGCCCTCCAGCAAGCGTGGACTAAATAAGGGTTTCCATTGGTCATAAATCCCTTCTGAGCCAAGGGGCGCCGCCTCTGTCCTAGGCTAAGGCCTTGGCCGAGCTGAGCTACTCCCTGGCATAGGCTTGGCCTTGACTGCACTGGGCGCCGGGCGACGCTGATGGGGCAGGTCTCTTGTGGCTTTCGGCTTCGTCTGCGGCAGCGCGACTTCCTCAGCCTGCTCCATGGTATGGTGAGTCTGCGCCTGTCCGCGCAGTCAGTCCCTGGCCGCGCGGCGTCCTCACAAACTTGACCGCTGCAAAGGACAGTAGCACGGAGGTGCGCTAGGGAACACTTGTCATTCCTGAAAATGCAGGACATAACTGCATCCCATTGCGCAGCGGTGGCCGGCACACCTACTGGCAGCATCTTGTCCACCCACTCTGCACGTTGGCACTGTACTACCTTCCTGAACCTCAAGGCTGAAGCCAAAGCTGCGGTGTGGCCTTTATTCACTGGCCGCAAAAGTCGGGAATCATCAATGTTGAGTGTGACATCCATCCACACGTCCGCCACTGCAGAGCTTCCAGCAGACCTGGCTTCATCCCACGAAGTGAAGCTACTGCTCGCCGCTGAAGATCCCTCCATGGCCCTGCACTCGCCAGTGCCCCAGACCAACATCATAAGTAGAGCACCCACGCCAGTGAGGGGTCAAATCCTCACCCAGACGGCGTCCTTCCTGAGGCATACGGCTCGTGCGCGATCAGCCTTGCTGCTCCAGTTGCCAGGCAGCTTGGGCATCCTTGAAGGCAGGATCGACAGAGGAAATTCCAACAGTCTGTGGCCCGCAGCTGACAGGAAAGAGCACCGGTGCTCTTGCCCACTGCTCCGAGCCAAAGCCAGAGCGTCCTCCCGGCGGGGGTTTGCTTGTCTGCGCGGACCCTTGCTGGGGACGCAACGGGTTCATTGCCCGGTGCAACTGCCGCCATGCCAGCTTCGCCAAACATCCCACACAAGTACCAACGTAGCAGCTCTTGGGTGTTCCTGCTGCTGGACGGCTCTGATAATTAAGCGTGTCGGCATGTATCAGAAATATATCTTCGGGCTAAAGCCCCAACCACAAGAAATGGACCTCCGCATCCACCAGATGCTTGTCGATGCTTGTACTAGTGCTGCCAAACTTCATTCGGCCCCATGCCCTCAGGGACGACCACTGACGCATTGGTGAATCTGCCCACGAAAAGGAATCGGAAGCCCCCCCTTCTGGCATCACAGCGGTGGCAGGGGATCTCCGTACATGGAGCGTTGCAGCGCTGACCGAGGGTACGACCCCCAGCAGTCCCCACTGGTGGGATGCTGAATCTCGACCACAGATGCCCAAAAGAACAGGGCCTGGGCCGCATCTTCTCAGTCCCACCGACGGCGAACCTCTGCAGCGAATTCCTGATAGGCAACTGCAACAGGTGAGAAGACATTCGCATCTGTATGGGCCGCCGCACCAGCTGCGACAACATTCTCCATTCACTCAAGGGTTGCTCGCGTCATCACAAGTCAGCAAAGATCGCCTCCTTGCACAATCGGCAAGGTTCACCTCTTGCACGCCTTCACAGGTTGACACAGGTCGACTCCTGTTCAGCTCAAACAAAAGCTGCCTGCCACTTTGGCTCACAGCTCGACTTAGATCCAAAATGGCAGCAGCATGAACCTTTGGGAATGATTTGCATGCACCCAAGCCTGCCAAACTAAACATGCTAACAGAGAAGAGTCGAGGGCAATTCGAGGGTGGGAATTCACACAAAACTGGGATGGGAAAACGTGGAGCAAATGCACCAAGTAAGGCCTCCAAAGAGCCTGCATGGCCAAATAATGTGGTTCTGCCCGGATTGCTTGCATCATTTTGTTACCTTTTGCTTGGTGTCTTTGTATCTCTGAGAACATCCGCCTGCTGCATCGTGCTCGCATTTGATCGAACTCAAGTGCTTTCAAAATGCCTCCTTGTCATGCTGTCGTGGTAAAGTCTAATTCCGGAAATCTCTGCATTCAAGATGCCCTTGCGAGGCTGCTGATGAATCACCTTGCACATCTGAATCTGGCTCTCGTCACAGCACGTGCCCTAAGCCTCTGGCTTTCAAGAAGTGAAGGAGGAGGCAACATCTCTTTAGGCTTGGAGAAGTACTGAATTTCTGAATTGGCGGCTAGAAATTGTCAAAAATTCGAAGTTGTGCAGTCACGCAAGACATAATCCAACATGGTGCATATGTGCAGCTGCAAAGAAGTGCAGAACTTGAGCCACCGACCTCTGCCCTGCCACTCTTGCGATCAACGCCGGCATTAACAGCATCACCTGATTCTACAGCAGGTCAACCAAACCGGCTGAGGTCGCCCAAGGCCCGCACCCCAACATGTATCTGCGCACCACTGTCGCGTTTCATAGCTTGCTGTTGAGGCTGTCAAATCGGCCCATGCAGATAACCTGTCTGCAGGCAACACAATCCAGACTCGGAACGAATGCCTGCTTGTCTGACCCGATGACCCCTCGAAGACTGTTGCGAAGATCTGCACGTTGAGACATGCAGGCCTCAGAGCGGCTGACTTCGAGATACTTCGAGCAGCAGAGTGCTCCATTCGCATCAAGTCCAACACCGCTAAGGCCAGTCCGCCCCCAGCACTGTCTCCGCAAACCTCTTGTGCAAGCGCACAACTGAAAAAGGTGCTAGGCCAACACACCAACTGCCCCCAGCATCAAAGGCTTGCCACCGAGCTTAAGAGCCTAAATCCTCCAAGACCTTGAGCCTTGAACCCCTGAACCCTAACAACAAACTTTACTCGACTCAGAACCCCAATCTCTAGACTCATAGACCAACAAAACTGATCCCAAACCCTGCCCTAACCCTTCAACCCCAACAGCAAATCTCAGACCTCAGGAACCCTGAATTCCTGCACGGTAAACTTGTAACATGAAAACCTGAAACCCTACATAACCTTCTGAGAAAGCCCTTCAACCCTAAGCTAAACCAAGGTTATCGAACAGCGGAAGGTCTGCTCAAAAGGGGGACGGAGAAAGGAAGGGAGTGAGACACATCAGCGAGAGTATTGTGGATACGACTGGCTGCCTGAAGACCCCATGCCAAGGCTTTCTGACACGAAAGACGGCGAGTCCCAGAGGAGCTTTCTTTCTTTGCTAGCGCTTCGGCTAGTAACTAGGAAATGCCAACTTGCACACGAAACGGTGCGGTGCATGTACAGGTTGCCACAATAAAATGCCCCCCTGACAGTTGAGCATGACGAACAGTAAGCACATGCGACAGTCAATGTAAGCAGCTGGCAAAGATGTCCCTTGCTGACTTCTTTGTGTCGTTGCCTTGTGCCACAACTTGAATGCTACTGCTACATACAATTCAGCTTCATACTGCAAGCAATGGGCAAAACTTGCTCCTGAAAAGCGGCCGCGCCTTCACGATTCGGTGGTCCGTTCCGAGATATCCACTTTATGGCCGCACATGCATCCTGTCATGCGCACACCATAGAAAATTGCCTGAACTTGTCCTGGCCTCGTAAGCTGCTGGGAACTTGTGCTCAGGAGCGAGTCGATAGTCTATGGACAGCACGCAGAGACCTGCGTGCAACTCGTTTCTTTGGAGTCGGAGGAACCGAATTATCCACCCATAAGTCCAACATTTGGAATTTGACAGCAGATTTGAAAGCAACGTGAAGATCACTCCTGTCGACCAAAAGGCACCAGCAGACCCAACCTAGTGAATACTTGGCATAAGCGACCCTGAAACCCATACTCAAAACTAGCCACACACGCATGTAATCACTTCTTCATGTGCAGTTCATGAACCATCACATCCATGACCGAAGATACTGGAAAACCGAAATAGCAAAACCGCAGCATTGACGAAAGAGCAAACATGAAGCTAAATTATTTACTTGGAGCATCCCCATCATAAAGCCGTTGTTGCACAAGAAATGTAATGTTGCCATGCCCCCCCAAAAAAAAACCGTCTTCCTTGAAGCACTGCAAATGCGCTGCAAGAATATTGCAGTTTGGCGCTGCAGGGGCAAATACTGTGGGGTTCGGCATTGCAAGGGCTGGGTACGACAAGGACACTTTGCAATTGAGCACTGCAGAAATACTGTTGGTTTGATCACTGCAGGGATACTCTGCAGTTGGACACTGCAAGAAAACTCTGCGGTTGCGCACTGCAGGAATACGTTGCCATTGAGCACTGCAGGGATACTCTACAGTTGTGCACTGCAGGGATACTTTGCGGTTGTGGTCGTTGGGCACTGCAGGGATACTCTGCGGTTGAGCACTGCAGCCAGGCTCCGCGCGGAGGGCGAAGACAACATAGATTGTAAGAATCTAACAACCATACTGCGAGGGTGGGGAACAAGGCAGCGCACCGCAACGTGAAGCCAGTCGTGAGGCGAGCGAGCGATACACTGCATCCTTCGGGGCATAGACCACATAGCTGCCCCCATGAAGGAAGAGCATTCCTGGCCAAAGCATCACGTATGGTCAGCGCCAAGCTTTTGCAGCCGTGTACCTAGAAGCCTTCAACATGCTCAGCAGGCTTCGTGTTCGATCTGCCTTCGGTGGTATGTACCTGCACGAAATCAATTGTCGTTCTGACGTTTTCGGACTGAGACGAACTGTCCAAACATGATCCAAAATAAGCTGGTTGGAACATGTCAACTGATGTCGCTATTCCACGTGACCCATGCTTCCAATACAGCCATCGCACCATTCAGCCGAACCTCGAGCTGTCAATCGCCCACCCTCACGTCTAGACCATTTGCGTGGGAAGTCCTTGCAGTCACACTTTCTGAACATCACTGCTATAGCCTGTGGAGCAATTTCGCTTACCTTGCCATCAACGGGTCTCACAGGAATGATCTTCACGCCAGGCGCAGTCCTGCAGAATAAGTCACACAAAAGGCAAAACACGCCTTGTGCTATGACTGCAAGATCTGGGCATCAATGCAACAGTGCAGCTTTGTGGCCCTCCCACCCACTAGATTAACCTTAAGAATCCCCAGATGCACCAATATCATGCATGCATCCGTGTAATTTTTGGTGCCCTCGCGTACTTTCCAACGTCCAATACTTCAGTTACACCCAATCTCCTTTTTCCCAAAAACATCTCGGATGTTGGTTTCTCGTTTAGGTTCAAAGGGGGGGGGGTGGGGGCGCAATACGGTAAGTACGCTAGGGGTACGCTAGGGGTACGCTAAGGGTACGCTAGGGGTTGCAGGGGGCGGTGAAGGGGGCGCTACCAGGAGAAGCCGCGATATGGTAGGTGTGCTAGGGGCGCAGGGGTACGCCAGGGTGGTTTGGCTAGGGGTACGCTAGGGTGGGCGGGGAGGGGCGGTGCTAGCAGGGAGGGGTGCTGTGATACGGTAGGTACGCTCGACTACGCCAGCAGTACGCTAGGGGAACGTTAAGGGTGCGCCAGGGATACGCTAGGCGTGCGGTCGCGAAATGTCGCGAAGGAGCAGCGAACGGGGCAGTGCCGGGACAGTGAAGCGGGCTAGCAGGGGCCGCCAAAACTGGGTACGCTAGGGGTACGCTAATGGTTAGGGGTACGCTGGGGTGGTGATCTGGGCGGGAAAGGAGGCGGTGAACAAGGAGGGGTGCAAGGGGGGGAGGGGGGGGGGGCGCGATACGGTAGGTTCGCGAGCGTGGGCGCGGGCGGCGGTGCTAGCAGGGGGGGCGGGGGCGAGATACGGTAGGTACGCGCTATGGGTACGCTCGCTAGTTTAGGGGACAGCTTTTGTTCATTGAAGGGATGCACGCTCTTGCAGAGTTTTGGCTGTTAAAGGCAGGTGGTGGCGTTATGCCACATCTTCCCCCGGTAGTTGTAGCTACTCTTTTGACCGTCACAGGCGGATGGATTCCTGGCTTCGGAAGTTGGGGTCCCAACGTTACCCAAGCTCCGCAGGGCAACCGCAGTGATCCGAACTTGTGGCTGCAGGCCGACGATGGCTACGCTTGGGCCGAGGCAGCTGGCGAGGCTTGGTTCTCAGGGTCGGAGTCGAAGGATGAGCCCGGGGCTTCATTTCCTCGGGATGTGTGGCTCGGGATTGCTGCGGATGCTTTCGTGAGCTTTTTGGGGTGGATCATCTTCGGCAGTGCTTGGCAAGGGGTCAAGAGTGGTTGCCAACGGGCTCTGCGGCTCATCTTGCTGCTCCTGGTGTGTCTTAAGGCGCATTACATGTGGGCAATTTGCTGGCCGGTGATTTCGTTGTGTTCAGCTGTGCTCATGGGCATCATTTGCATTGTCCGGACCATGGTGAAGAAACTAGGGACTTTGGTGTACTGGGCTCAGCGCGCGGCAGGAGGAGTCCCTGAAGCAGCAGGCGCCGAGTTTCTGGGGCCTGGGACCGGTCGAATTCCTGAAACAACTGACCTCCGACCCTTCAAGAAAACTGGTTCTGCTGACAAGTGGGTGCTGGTTCGGAGGGAGGGCAAGATCGCTGCTTTTAAAGTGGGGCCTGACAATCAAACGATTCGGACTCCAGGTTTGTTTGTGAGTCTGGAGGCCGACTCCATGCGTGGCGATCCAGACATTGTGGAAGCCCGCAAAGGGCATGACAAACTGCATCTGTGTCGCCATTTGAATTGTGCTGAGGACATCTGAAGACAGGCAACATTTCAAGGAATATGCACTGGCGCAGGACTTCAATCCCGAACGTTTGCAGCTGAAGAATTCTGAACTCGAGGCGGCGAAGGCCGGACGGACCCTGTGGACGTGGTTCTGGGCGACGGCCTCCGAGGCTAAGAAGGTCAGCCGGCTGGAGTTTGGTTCTGAGTTAGAGACTGAGGACTTCGCGCGTGACGCCCACAAGGTCAGATGGTCGGAGGAGGAGCAAGATGTGCGCCTCTCCAAGGGGCCTTGCAAAGACAAAGGGGTGATCACTCTCTCTCTCTCGAGCTTCTCCACGAGGATGGCTTCTGCCCTTCTGGTCAGGCGAGGCTTTGCTCCGCCCATGCCTTTGAGTACGAACGCAAGCGGCGAGCTCAGGCACGCAGCAAAGTGAGTTGCAATCGAGTTGCTGTTGAAGAAAGTAAGGGAGTTCGTTTACGCACAGCTTCCTCGACTCCTACACGGCGACGGTCTCCACGAACGACGAGGGTGGCCCTTCCTGCCGTTACGCGACCTGGCGACGATCCCGAAGAACCTGATCTTCCTCACGAACCGCAAGGAAGTCATGTTGTTCCACGGGACATTCGAAAGCTTCTTAAGGAGGTCAAAGGGGACAGTACGGGCCCTTCATCGAGGAAATCTCCGGGGAGCACGCCGAAGTCCAGCATTCAACGTAACTTGGCGTTGCTTGGCTTGCCCCGCGATGTGGATACCCCTTTGTTGGAAGAGTTCTTCAATCAGTATGCCGAAGGCCGGGGACTTGGTTTGGCCGAGGAGGAGGTTAGGATGAACCTGGCAACCGAAAGGGGTTTGACTTTGTCTTCGGTGACTGCGTCTGTGGCTCAGCAAGCGCTTCTCCAACTGTACTGGCAACGCGCGGAGCTATGATCAGAAGGCGGGCGCCGCTCACCCGACGGACGAGAACCCTGGTACGATCGAGGACATCGCGAAGGCTATCAAGTCGCAGACCGCGGAGATCGCTTCTTTGGTCAAGAGTCACACGGACACAACCTCCGCTCCATCAGGAATGCTGAAAGGTCTGAACCCACAGTCGGAGGAGATGGTCTTCTTGTTGCGTGCTTGCAATCAGTACCAGGTCACAGTTGGCGCAGGTGAACAAGGACAGGCCTTGGCCAATGCACTCCTGTCTGCCCAGATTGGTGCGTCCACAAAGCTGCGTTCAAGCAGAAGGTCACCAATCGCCTTGCCATCGGCCTCGCAGGCCCTTACTGGGGTAGCCAGGAGAAGCACTCGTTAGGGGCCACCGATTTCATTCCCTACACCGATGAGGAGCTGGATGCCTTTACGCATGAAGCTCGAGCAAACAAAGGAGGCGTTGATCAACGACCGGCACCCCCCACTAAGTTCGAGGATTGGGAAGGACGCGCCAGGAGGCAAAGCGACGTGCGGGCGCACGTGTATGGCGAGGAATGGAGACAGGTTCGCACTCATGCACTTGATCTTCTCAAAGGCTGTGCTTTCTGAAGTTTGGGAGGTGTTGCACTGGCGTTTCCTGGAAGAGCTCAAGGAGATTCTCCGTCTTCTCAAGGAGGAGGCCGGCAGGGAGACCATGTTGTTGCAGGACATCAAGTTCTTTGCTTTGCTGCCTAATGAACATGGTCAAGCGTGGTTGGAGCTCCCTCGCACCTTTGACCTCCTGAACCCAGAGGGCTGGTTTGCCACGGAAGTTGTCCCACGAATCGAACGTCGACAGGAACGGATGGTTTGGCGCATGACTTGGGAAGGTGCCCGTCGGGGAGACAAAGGACCTGGGGCTCGAGGAGAAGCCGACTCTGAAGAACTTTTGGGGTCCTCGCCTGTCTCAGGACGAACTCAGCCAGGCGAAAACCCGAGCACCTGTGGACAAAAATGGCGTGTTGCTTTGTTGACCCACCTTGGGCGCCAAAATCAAGCCTGCCAACGGTCCCACGCAGGTTTGCAAGGGCGTTTCTCTCAGCTTGATCCTTGCGTTCAAATGCAGCTTCTGAGGCGCGGCGGGCTCAAGGGCCTGAAAATGGAAACCAAGGAGTCCGTAAAGGGGGCAAGACGATCCAGTTCTGGGAGGTGCCTGAGGAGTTGAGAAGTTCGAAGCTGTCGACTACACCGCCGCGGAGGAGGAAGGAGGACGCACGATCTGGCGACGAAGGCCCGCAACCTGGCCGAGGGCCCCGTACTCAGCCGCCTGTCGGACATCGGATGACCTTTACGAGTGGGCAGCGCAAACGACCTTTGAGGAGCTCGTGGGCGAGATGGCGACATACGGCATCGGCGACATGGCGGCTGAGGCTTCTGAGTTGCTGGAGTGTGCGCCGAATGCAAGGCAGGGTCGAAATCAGGGTTGGTGGTTTCCGACACTAAATAGGAGCCAGACGACCTGGACAAGGTCATGTCACCATCGAGGGCAACCCTCCTTCTGGGACTACAAAGAGGCGTGCTACGACAGCCAGATGAAGGGGTCGAAAAGAGGCAGTGCGTCACCAAAGCGATTGCAGCGGGCATTCTATGGCGAAAGCTCGCCAGAGCCTTCTTTGGACGAGATCGCCGACAAGAGTTGCAAAGTTCGTATCAGGCACGCCAAGCAGCGGAAGCGCAGGCAGTTATGGGTGAACCTGCTGACCGAGCGGCCCCCATTGAGGCGGAGTTGCGCGTCTACACACACGATATGATCCACGCCAATCACGACAAGGACTTCCGGTCTCACGCGGTTTTTCCAAGTGCCTGATACGGAGGACGGAGACTTGGTTGTGATTCGTGCCAATTACTTAGGAGACCTCGTTGTGGAGACGGTTACGGGGTCAATGTGGTGTGATGGTGGTTGGATGTTGTGGGTCCTTATTTGGCGTGGTCATATGGTTCTCTTGGAGCCGCCGGCTGGCATGGATCAGGCACAACTCCTTGACCAATGGCAACCTTATGACACACCTGCCCTGGGTTTCCTTTTCTTTTGGCACTCACGTCATGACCAGGAACGTACGAGCCCAGGCCGAGTTGTTTGTCGGCTGCGCAAAGGTGGTCGAAAGGCGGGGGATCAGTCCATTGTGGATCCGTGCGCGCCACGCAAAGTGAGCAAGCATCAAAGCCGGGGCTACACCTCTTCAAGCTGGGGTCCCTGTTCGTGGCGATTCTTTGCGCTTGCATGCGCTTGCAGGAGGTCTTCGTGGGTAAGGCTGCGTTGACTAAGGAGTGGCGGCAGGCCGGTTTGGCACGCATGGAGCCGATCGAGGTTTTTCTCGATCCTCATTTGCGTCAAGGTTACGCGGAGGCCTGTGACCTCACACTCCCCCACGTCGTCAAGGACATGATCTACAGCGCTAAGCGCGGCAAGGCCAATGTACGGTGGCTTTCGCCTCCCTGCACGTCCTTTTGTAACCGGTCTTTGGAGAATGGTAGGACCCGTACCTTTGAGTGCCCCGAAGAAGGCGCTAATGGGGTTCCTTTGAAGGATGTCGAGCACTTGGGCAATTCCTTGGGAAGACTTCCTGGCAGGTTTGGAGGGCAACGCCTTTCCCATCGCGGAGAGCACGGCTCGCAGTGGAAGGTACCCAAGATGTGGGACCTGCCTTGGTGGAAAGCAATTTTGGCCCGGCCAGACGTCGAGTTTGTGGAGTTCCCGACGCGCGCCCTTGGCTTGGGCCCGCCTGAAGGCGATGGTTTCTATCACCCATGCGGTCTTTCGGAGGTGCACAATTTTGGCTGCTGCTTTGTCGCGCAGGTGCCCCGACGTCGGGCTCACACAAGCATATGGCTTTGAAAGGGTCTCGACCAGGGGCCGTTGCCACCAGATGCGCCGAGGCCGGGCTTTATGCCCAGGAGTTTGTCAAGGTCATCGTTGGGGTCTTGAGCGCAGTGCTCGTTCCAGCGAAGGGGTGAAACACATTTTCCGTCCCCACAGTCTTCTCCCTTTGACACAAGAGCAGCGGGGTCCCCAACCGATTGGCCAGGCGAGAGTGATGATTTGGAGAGTTATGAACCATCACCTCAGCATCAACCTTTTCAGGGACCTCCTGGCTGGCTGGGCAGCCTCGATGACGAGGATGACTTGTACTTCATGGCTCAAGAGCTACCAGGACGAGCTTGCGCCAGCCCGGGTCCGGGGAAAACACGTGAGCTGGATCGTCTGAACCTAGCACTTTCGAGAGCTACCGGGCACCCAATCAGGACGCCAAGAAGGCAGCCGAGAATTACATCGACCACGTCAGCCAGCAAGGGGCCGGGACTTCGGGCGCTTGGGCAAGTATGTGTGAGCAGGGGGCGCGTCTTCTTAGTCAAGCCGGTTCGGTTCGAGAGGAGGCGGAGAGCTTATGGCAAGTTCGTGAAGAGAAGGGCCTCAACAATCTGGCCGGAGTGGATGAGAAAACCCTCGACACCATTTTGCAACCCGACATGCTTGCTTACACGCGTGAGGTTCGGCACAAGGGCTTGGCTGCGCGGTACAATGGGTCCAGACAGCATGTATGTACCAAGCCCCACCCAAACGCTCGACGAAACTTGGACCAGGTCTTCAAGCAAATCTGGAAGGACGTTGTGAAGCAGAGGGTTTTGGTTGTCTCCGCAAGTCACCCAGCTTTGTCGAAGGTCGTCTCAAGCCCTTTCAACGCGGTGGACAAGATGCTCCCAGATAGGTCGATTGCCCCGGACAGCGTGTTGTACATGATCAAAGGGGGGTCAACACTTTCACTGACAAGAGCTTTCACCCCCCAGCATTGCAGCCCAAGCATGCGCAGACTGCCAGGTTGGTCCTCTGGATCAAACGCAGGCTACCTGGAATCACGGTCCTGCTCTCGAAGAGGGAAATTGCTGCCGTTCGCCTGCTGCGGGTCGATCCGGTGGATGTTGACATCTACCTCGTGAGCTCCTTTGGCTTTTCTGGCTCCCAGCGAATGGACTGTGTGGGGCAGGGCGACTGAGGAGTACGTGAAGGCGTTTAGGCCTGCCAATCCAAGACTTGATCTTTCTTGGGCGTTCAACGGCAAGATCCTGGTGGATGACAACGCGTTAGTCGAGCCCTGGTGGGTTTGCGTCCGTGGGTGGCCGGCGACGTCTACAACCAGGGCGTCACGCAGGTTTTTGGCAAGTCGGCGGTCAACAAGGATAAAAGTGAGGTCGAGGGATGAGGGACCCTACCGGCCGTTCCAGACGGCGCGGGGACTTGATATCGAAACGAAGTTCAAAGAAGTGCACTTGCCCGAGAGACGAATCACAAGAGAAGCCGCTCTCCTGGCAGAAGGGGCCGGGGCGAAGGACATAACCGTGAGGGACATCCAACGCTTCAGAGGGATTGCCACGGGCTGGACTGTCGTCGTCAAAGGGCTGAAGAAGAACGAGCTCAAAGCTGCTGATAGGTTCCTTGGCTTGGAGGCGGACGGCGGCGCAAAGGCCAGACCAAAGTCTTGCTTTCAGGCGGAGGATGAGGACCAGGCGTGGCGCGACTTGTGGGAGCTCTTTGAGGAGCGCCGCTGGCTTTGCGCGAGGCCTGAGACCTGGCCTTCCAAGTTTTGCGCTGGGACGCGTGAGTTCGCGAGCCACTCGCTTTGCCAGGGAAGATCAAGGAGGGGGCAGTTTTTGTGTCTTCAGACGCGACCAAGGTGATCATGGGGGCCATCGATTGGACCAACGGCAAGGTCATGCGGATGAACGCTTCGGCAGCAGCCCGTTGGGTATGGCAACGCAACGATCATGATGATGACGAGGTTGCCATTCATGTCGCAGAGATGCTGTCATTTCTTGCCTTTGCTTGTCGGATGGGGCCCTCCTGATTTGGCAAGGTCATCCTTTACGGCGGTGATAACCAAGTGGTTCGCCAATGGATCACTGAGAGGCAAAATGGCACTGTGTCGGGGCGACTCATGGCCAGGGTCCTCAACATGATCGAAATGAGGTATCGTTGCACTGCGGTAGCAGCTTGGCGTCCCCGTGCCGTAGATTGGTCATGCATTTGCGATGAGTTCGTGAAGCTGGCTGGCAGATCTTTGAGGACGAGTTTTTAATGTGACCCAACCAGGATGGTCCTTGGAAGTCGATGGATCAAACCCTTGAAGCTGGTGACATTATTGGGATCAAGATGGGCGACACAACCTGTATGGCACGAGTGGACCATTGTTGTGGCCTTTGCGGAAGTCGGACGGCAAGTCGATAGAGGACTGCGCGGTTTTCGATCCCAGAGGGTCGCCAGGGGCGGTGCGAAAGTTGGAGCCCGAGGAGGTTTGGTTGCGCCAAGGCTGTACGAAGCAGCAGTTGGATCTAATTGTTCATGAAGGCCTGGACGCGCAGAAGGCTTTGGTGGAACGGAACAAGGCGACTGGGGGGCACACGGCCATGGCTTTGACACTGATGGCGCGACGTTCTGGGCGATGAGTCGCTCGCCAAGTTGCTGAAGCGGCATGGTCACTGGCGGCGAGGTGGTTTTCCACGCGCCCTTCCTGACTGACGATGATTGCCGAGCTGGAGGGTGTCCAGGCGAGGAGGACGAGGGCCATGAGATCGGGCGAGCAGTTTGGCGTTGGGGCGAGGCACTCTGGCTGTGGGCTCCGAAGACGAAGTAGGGAGACGACTCTTGAGCCAATGGCAGGGTCTGTAAGAAGGCTGCCAACGCGCGCGGTGACGCCCATGTTCATGACTGCCTCCTCCCTGTGCGACCTTTCGATGGCCTCGTCGGAGACCGGGCTGATGAATGGATCGAGGAAAACATGGTTGGCATCACGCTGACAGCACGACCAAGCAGTATGCGGGCATCTATGGCAAGTGGCGAGCTTGGTCCAGGCGACAGCGGTGGCACACGGAGTACCTCGACAAGTCACGGCGGGTTGAAGACAACGAAGACAAGATCCTCGGCTTCCTGGGGTACCTCGGGTGGCTGGGACGCACGGTCGCCACCATCAAGCAGGCGGTCTTTGCGCTCAAGGACGCGCAACGGAGGGCATGTACCGTCTGTGGATGCTGTTGGGCGCTCTGCAGAAACGCTCCTCCAAGAAGCCAAGGTGATTGGGCGTGACTCCAGAGATGTTGCGATGGATCAAGGCAGCGACCAACACAAGCCAGGGTGAGGCATCGGATGTCTTTGACGCGGCGGTGATTCGGGCAGCGGTCACCACAGCTTGGTTCTTCATGTTGAGAGCCAAAGAGTATTGCGACTCGAACGGCATCGACTATGCCGTGATCTTGAGGGGTGTGGATGTGAAGTTCATCTTTGAAGAGGTGGATGGCATCCAGACCGTGATCGGGGTGACCATCCAGTTCAGGAAGACGAAAACCGACCAGGAGGCCTACGGCACGTGCAAAACGATGTACAGGTCAGGTGATCCCGATTCGTGCGTGGTGGCCGCCTTGGAGGAGTTGAATGCCTTGCACTCTTGCATCCAGAAGGTTTGGCCAGGGACCCGAGGCGTTGCAACCTTGGTTTCGCTGGGCGAATAGCACGGTGGTGAAGAAACTCCAAGTGCAGAACGTTTTGCAAAAGGCTGCAAAGGCTCTTGCCTTGCCTGCTGAGCGCTTCATGTCGCACTCGCTTCGCATTGGAGGTGCTTCAGCGCTTTCTCAGGCGACGGGCGAGATCGAGCTGGTCAAGAGAACAGGGAGATTGTCTTCGTCAGCTGTGCAGAGATATCTGCATGATGGTGAGGTCGCTCTGAGAGATGCGGCCAAAAAGATGGCTACAATTGAACAGCGCGTTCATTCTACTTAGTTGGGGGCACAGGGCCTGAATGGGCGACAAACTTCCAACTTGAAGGGTGCATTGGACGGCATGAAAATGGTTTTGAGTCCGCTGACCGTGTATGCACCAAAGTGACAAGCTAGGAAGTAACTACAGCTTTTGTGCATTGAAGGGATGCACGCTCTTGCAGAGTTTTGGCTGTTAAAGGCAGCCCACCCTCAGCCACCCTGGGGGCACAGGGCCTGAATGTGCCATAAACTTTCAACTTGAAGGGTGCAGTGGACGGCACGAAAATGGTTTTGAGTCCGCTGACCGTGTATGCACCAAAGTGACAAGTTAGGAAGTAACTACAGCTTTTGTGCATTGAAGGGATGCATGCTCTTGCAAAGTTTTGGCTGTTAAAGGCAGCCCACCCTCACCCACCCTGGGGGCACGGGGCCTGAATGGGCCATAAACTTCAACTTGAAGGGTGCAGTGGACGGCATGAAAATGGCTTTGAGTCCGCTGACCGTGTATGCACCAAAGGTACGGTAGGGATACGCTAGGGGTGCGCTGGGGGTTGGGCGGGGAAGGGGGCGGTGCTAGCACCAGGGGCGCGATACGGTTGGTACGCTAGAGCGCCGGGTGCGTGAAGGGGGCGCTGAAGGGAGGGCGCTATATGGTAGGTACACTAGGGGTACGCTAGGGCTACGCTAAGGGTATGCTAGGGGTACGCTAGGGGTATGCTAGGGAAGGGGTACGCTAGGGGAACGCCAGGGGTGCGCCAGGATAACGCTAGGGGTGCGGTCGCGAAGGAGCGGCGAAGGGTACGCTAGGGGTACGGTAGGGATACGCTAGGGGTACGGGGGCGGTGCTAGCGATACGGTGGGTACGCTACCGGTACGCTAGCGGAACGCTAGGGAGCGCTAGGGGTGCCCCAGGATAATGCTAGGGGTGCGGTTGCGAAGGAGCGGTGAAGGGGAAGGGGACGGTGAAGGGGGCTATGGCATGGCGCCGCGATACGGAGGTACGCTAGCGGTGGGTACGCTGGGGTTACGCTAGGGGTGCGGTCGTGAAGGGTGCGGGAAGGGGGCGCTGAATGGGGGCGCGATACGGTAGGTATGCTAGGGGTATGCTAGAGGTACGCTAGGGGCAAGGTAAAGGTACGCTGGGAGTACGCTAGGGGGTGGGCGGGGAAGGGAGCAGTGCTAGCAGGGGGGCCGCGATACGAAAGGTACGCTAGTGGCGAACAAGGGGCCGGGAAAGGGCGGGGTGGTAGCAGGCATGCTAGGGGTACGGTGGGGAACTAGGGGAACGCTAGGGGTGTGCAAGGATACGGGTGCGGTCGCGAATGAGCGGCGAAGGGACGGCGAAAGGAGCACAGACAGGGGCCGCGATACGGTAGGTACGCTCGGGGTACGCTAGGGGTGCGCTCGTGAAGGGGGCGGCCAAGGGGGCGGCCAAGGGGGCGGTGCTAGCAGGGGGGCGCGATACGTAGGTACGCTAGGGGTAGGTGCTGCGGGGAAGGGCCGCGATACGGTAGGTACGGTAGGCGTACGCTAGGGGTACGCTAGGGGCTGGGTTGTGAAGGGGAACAAGGGTGGGCCACGATACGGGCGGTGCTAGCGGGGGACGACGTACGCTAGGGGTATGCTAGAGATACACTAGAGGTCGGGTCGTGAAGGGGACGGTGAAGGGGACGGAGGGGGCGGTGCCAGCAGGGATGCGGTGCCTACGCTATGGGGTATGCCAGGGGAACGCTATGGGTACGCCCAGAGTACGCTGGGGGTGCGGTCGAGAAGGAGCGGTGAAGGGGGCTGTGAAGGGGGCGGGGCGGTGGGGTGATACAGTGGCTGCGCGAGCGGTACGCTAGAGGTACGCTAAAAATACGCTAGGGCACTCCAGAAGGCCGGATGCTGTAGGTACGCTAACAGCGCGGTCGCGAAGGAGCGGTGAAGGGGGCGGTCAAGGGTGCGGTGCTAGCAGTGGGGAGGGGGGGCCAGCGATACCAAAAGGCGCTCAGGAAGGGGGCAGTGCATTTTGAAGGCAAAATGCGCTCCAGGATGGGGTAGCGCATTTTGGAGTCAGGACCGCTGATGCTCATCATGCTGGGTCTTGGGGCCGGGAGCAGTCTGCAAAATACGTTCTGGGATGCGGAAGGCATTTTGGAGTCAGGGTCGGCTGAACTTGATGATGCTGGGTCTTGGGGGCTTTGGCAAGCATTGTCCAAACTGCACTCGGGGATGGGGTAGCGCATTTTGTAAGCAGGACTGGCTCTCAATGCTGGGTCTTGCGCGGAATCTTGGGCCTTCTTAAACACTTCCTGGCAAGCAGCCCCCAAAATGCGCTCCAGGACGTGGTAGGACATTTTGGAGGCGGCACTGGCTCACGCTCCTGATGCTGGGCCTACAGGGATCTTCCGGAGAAAGGTTTTTCGTGGAGAAGTGCAATGCGGGAGTGAGGGGATTGGGCGACGGAGGAGTCCGGAGGGAGCGCGCAGGTCGACACAGTAAGAGTCGCAAAAGGGCGCGTGAGCATTCAGGGGGTATCGCGGTGGGGATAAGGTGGGCCGGCTGCGGGCGGGGTATGGGTGAGGCTGACGAGATGGCATCGCGTTAACGTTCTCAGCCTCCGGCTGCAACCCATTCGGTCTTGATTCTGCTCTTTTTTTTGTGGGTTCCCGGCTTGACCTTGCTTTTTAAGCGTCTGCATTCCTAAATGCCTACAAGATTCACAACTCATCTGGACACGAGTACATCAGCCTGTAGAGCACTCCCGCAACGTCAGGATGGGCTGCTGGCTTCCTTTGCTTGACCCCGCCAGGCCAGCAACATGGACGTTTCTGCGGCGCTTGCACACTTGGCTTTGCCAAAGGCCTTTGCGACAAAGGTTTTCGCATGTGTTTGCGATAACGGGACTCGAAGGCTCTAGTAGCCTCCACTGGAGCCAGCAAACCTCGATTTTTCCGGATTGCTGAGATTCAGTCGTTGAGTCACAAACCTCCACTAGTGCTTCGCATTTCTATATCCTTTGTTCTCGGACAGCTGTCTTGCTCCTATGCCGCACCGTCCTTGTGTCCAGTCGATCTCGACCGGCAGCGCACTGCCTTCAAAGATGTCAAAAAGTTCAACAACAAAAGGGGAGGATTTCTCTTTCCTCAGGATGGCCATCTCCAGCTGGTGCTGTGACCGTTTCGGTTGCCGCGTGCCTGCCCCATCATTGCTATATCATGAGTCCACAGCACACACACACATGCTTTTCCAACAGGTGCCCGGGCATTGGCCTGTGCCATGCACCCGTCTTGCAGACGGCTTTTTCATAAGCTCGGCTTGCTGATGAAAACAAGTCTCTACAAACTTCGAGACGCAATGCTTAATCATAGCAGCTGCATTCATGCTAGAACACTCGTTGCTGATTGGCCATGCATGCTCAGGCTTCAGAGGAGCGACTAAGAAAGCAGAGATTGCATTCAAAGCCGGTGGTGATGTTCAGCCTCTCAGTCCCAAGCTGCTAGACTTTTTGCATTTCCAGCGTGAGCCTCTGCTCAGCTATGAGGCTCCCTGCCTCCGTGCCTCCAACTATTCTGCTACAAGCAAGCTTCTTCGCCAACTTCCTGAAGATGTCAATGTCCAAACGATGACGACCTGATGACTACTCGTGCGCGGCGACCATGTCAAACTTCCACGGAAAATTGTTAATCTACCAAACTTCCGCTAAGAATACATGGAGATCGTCAATGATTATCGCAAGCCTCACACATCAACAACAGAGTTTAAAGAACAAATCCTTCGCAACGCCTTCAGAAAAATGAAAGCCCTTTCCAGACTGTATCTTACCAATGACTATGCAGTATAAGAAGAATCCCTCACGCAAGGGTGTCGAATGGGCAAGAGCCACACTCAGTCAGGAAACCCAAGTCAAGGGATTGCGAATACATCTCGGCAAATCCAGCACGTGTGTCCATCTCCATGGAGGCAAAGGCGGGTTCTAAGCAGCGGCAGGCATTTTACCTTAGCACAGTTATCGCTAGGCTGTCGTCGCATGGCGCCGATTTGAGCCGCTCGCTCTTGCAGTTCAGACTCTCGGACTAAGCTAAGCAAGCATTCCCAGCTAGCTATTTGGCACATGCGCATCCACCAACTGGGTCGGTGCTCTCTCCTGCAACTAGTTCACCTTCGGAGCTATTAGGTCCAGGGGTGTCAGCGTCTGCATCTTTCAAAACACCAGCACCCAAGAGACCGAATTACTGAAAGTGGGGGGTGCTCTGAATCACAGAAGAAAAGAACGAGAACCGTTCCCCAAAACAATGGACATACGGGCATACAAAGCAAATGCAATGACAACACCAACCATGCACCATGCAAGAAGTTGAAATTTCAAAAGGTCACAAGCTATCACCCTTGCTTCTGTCAGGTGAAAAAAGAGCTTTGCACGCAGCTGCACCAACGTCACTAGTATGTTGAGGCTATAAGATTTCCAAATGTAAAGCCAGCCCAAAATATTGAGCAAATGCGATGCCACGTGCAGATTAGGCCGATAATCCGAAGTTAGCAGTCCAAAAGCACTTTGCCTTCATGAAAGATCGGCCGGGAGAGCCCAAAGTCGCATCACACGAGTCACAGTACCAGACCATTCGTCTGGACCCGTATCACTCTTCCACACTCTCATGCTCGACAATTGCATCTTCTGCAACAAACTCCTTGCTGCCGAAGCAGTAGTCATACCTTCCGGATTACAGAGCACGTGATGGATAAGGCGGAACACAACCGCACATGGCTTGCCACATCGACTCAGAAGCCCACACGCAAGCTTTCATGCGCATCTTCTCATCCTGAGGTTTGTCATCACCCTCCGCAGCCCTGGCTTCCTTGCACGCCTTTGTGGCAGCTTTTCTGGTTTGTTGGTCACAATCTTCGATCTTCTTCGCCTTGACAAGAAGCAGCCACAGGTGGAAGAGTCTGGATAGAATGCAATCATCTAATTGTCTTGCATGGCCAAGGATCCTCTTGCTGGACCACCATTTCCACTTCCTGTCGCTGCTGCTAAAGGTGACAAGGTGGGGGCCAATCAAGTCTGCAACAGCAAAAGTATTAAATAGGCTGCCATGTTTGCTGCCTGCCTTGAAGTTGCTTTCTACTGTCTGCTTTAATCCGCCGACCCCGGCCTGATGGGGAGTGCGCACGGAAAGGGCTTTTCCCGCCAAAGTGGACCGAAGCCCTTCTTACTCCACAGCCGCTGAGCTTCCTCCACTACTCCTGACATGACCTGGAAATCTCCGCACTGGCCTGAGATTTATGCCGTGGCCCGGGCAAGCTTCCTCTAGTGCATTGGCCCCAAGCCCCATTCGCTCTACTGCTACATGCATTCCTTCTCGGATTAGTGTTTTCAATTCTACACCGCCACACCTTTTACCCTGGGCGACCTGCTTGCTCTGGAATCAAGCCTGGCTGATGAATGGTTTGACAGTGGGGTGCCTTGCCGTGCCAACACGCCAACATGTAGTCCAGAAGACCCGTCAGTACCCTCAGCGACTGTGGAAGCTTGAACAGATGCGTTGTCAGATGTTTGGAACGTTCACGCACATGCCTGATTCTGACATATTCCGACCTCCAACCCGCAGCAATAGACAGTGAGAAGCATGCTGTGACCTTGAAGATACATTGCAACCCAGCTGTTGCCAGGGTCTGCGGCAGCGGCTTTGGCCCTTTTATCGCTGGCCCCAATGTCGCACCGTGTTGAAGAAGGTACTTCTCAGCGGCATCCAAACAAACTGCAGCGGGCCTGTTTCTGGCAACATATTCAACGTGTTTCTTCTTCTTCTTTACAATGTGATTTGTTGCTGCAAATTGTTCTCCAAGCCTTCTGTTTTCCAGGGGCAGGATATATATAGGAGCGATTGTGGAGACGCTTGAGTGGGCGCGTGAGGGACGCATCCCTTGGCAGAAGAGGTCAACGCAACATCCAAAAGATGAGATGTGTCTTTTCTGCTGCACACCTTAACACATCTTATCGCGTGGGCAAGACTTCTGCTAGGTTTCTTGGCCTGGCCTAAGCTGATTGGACATTTATTTTCCTTGTCCATAGCATGTTTCATCTTTTGACACAAGCTGCAGCTTCTTGCTCTTATCGGGCAGAGGTGGCACATCAGGGTGCAAACAGGGTTTAAACAACGAGCAGCGTCCTGCGCAAAGAGAGACGCACCAGGTGCTACTGGCCCTATTCGCTGCTCAATCTGGTCCTTGGTGTCATCACCTTAGCAACTTTTCGTTTGAAACTAGCATGGCCTTACCATCAAGGGCACTAGGCTGAGAGCCACACTTACATCAAAATTGAAATTTCCACAGTGCCCATCCTGTCCTCCCAATTGCTGTGGCATGCGGATGATGGCATCGATGTGCTTTGGCCATCTGTTGACAGTCACTTCCACATTGCGGGTAAAGTAAGCCTGGCAGCATTCAACTACGTGAACTACGGTGAAAGAGAGATAAAGAGAGAGAAGTCAAAAACTCACATTACAGAACCCTTGCAGCCGACTGCCTGGATGAGCTTCACTGGGTAGTTCTTCAGCACTCCATCAATGTGCTTTTCTCCAGGCATGTAGCGCAAGTTGGCTATCGGCTGGACAAAATCAGTGTTCAATTCACTGAGAATGGGTTCACCATTCCACGTGATTTGGCCTTCCTCTGGCTCGATGATGAGAGTGTTATTCCACAGCCAGTCACCGCTCAAAGCCAATGAAAGCAAAGCGGACATGTTGCTCGGTGTGAAGATTGTGGTGCCGTACCGGGCCTGGATCTTGATCTGGGAGTTCTTGACCAACCAGTAATCGCCAGAAGAATAAACGCCGAGGGCTTCCGCCTTCTCAGCTCCGAATATGCCGTTGTCAAAAGGATCGATGTGAGGATCGCCTAACTTGCTGACACAACAACCTGTTTTTCAACCCTCGCACAGCCTTCGCTGAGCAGGTCAAGATAATTAATCCCTCAACAGGACCCTGCAGTCAAATTTTGCCCAGAATGTGATGTGGCGGAGCTGAGGTGGAAACCCCAAATGGTGCAGGTGCCCTTCACTGGAAGGATCGTAGTCTCCAGACGGAACTCAGAACCGCAGCATCGTCGTTCAGCAAAGAAAAAACTCAAATCCACCGCTTCTCCTCACAGGTCTCAGTCCCCTCCCCACCCGAGCCAGAGGGGAACTAAGCAAAGCTTCAAATCTAGCGTGCTTGTGTAATTTCTCAAGGCCTTCTGTCAGATTCAGGTTGTCGATCTCGTAGGTACCGACCATGGGATTATGCACGCCACCCAGGTCAATCACAAGCTTCCCATTCATGTAGACCCACACATCATCATCACCCCGGAAGGTAAAGGAAAGCCCTGGTATATACACAAATGTGCCGTGCATCTCCAAAGTGAAGTAAAAGTTGTGCGCTTCATCATCTAGACCTGCAAGCCACCGCCGAGTCTAGCAATTGCAGCAAGTGCTCATGCAGGTCGAAATCACCTCACCCCTTTCTTGCATCCCTGCTTTTGTGTTCTCGCACTCTGTTGACTACAGACCGAAGCCCTCATCCGATGTCGTGCTAGTTTTGTTTCTTCTTGCTACTTCTTCCTTGCAAGACTACTTTTCACTCGACCCTTTGATTGCAGCCTCCCTGCCTATGGCAGTATCATTCCATCCCTGTCCATCGATTGGAAAGAAGGATGCGTCATCATGAACATAGGTACCCGAAGGAGTCTTCTCAAAGTCCATCCTGACAGCAACAAGCAATCAGCAACACCGCATAGCGAGTGCATCGAGACATGTCTACTGACTTGGATGTCGGCCACCGCACTCTTACAGCAGCACATCGCCTGAAGTTAATCCTTCTGTTCACTCCAGGGACATCTCGAAACCACTGATCAAAGTTCTCCTTGCTGGAGAGTTGAAGACCTCACAGTGTCAGTAAGCAGCTTCAAATCCAAAAACTATCGAAACACTCAAGATCGTGCATGCAATAGCCCGCTCCCAAATGCCTCCTTTGAACACAGGCTTCTTGTCAGGTCCGAGTTGGTCTTCCACCAAACCAGTGCTATGACCATCAAAAGACTGGAAGTCTGGATGGTCTGCTGTGAAGTCACCTGAGTGGCACACTGCGCCTCAAGCTTTGCTCATTAATTGTGGCTCGTACGAGTAGTTAGCATCAACCCGCGAAAATTGCTAAACTGCTGACATTCTGTGAACACGCCAAGGTAAGAAGCTCCATCTTGTCATGCGCTGACTTCATGACAAGCATGCAGCACAAGCGAACCTGTGCATAGACTTAAGTACTGTGCATATTTCCACTCTCTGAAACATCCCATGGCATTTCAGGGAAAGAAAGTCATCTTGTCGAGTCACGAATGACCGCATCAAAGAAGATGGTTTCAGGACCTGGACAGCAGCTGATATCCTCTCGAATTTGGACAATGCTGGATCTGACTGGGAAATCACCCGGCCAGAAAGTTCCATGATGGAGATCATTGTGACACACAATTCTTCTGCATGTTTTTTGGGCAAGACAGATGCAGCCAGGGTCAAGAGCCTTCAAAAACTTCAAGAACATGGCCAGCAGAGGTGTTGCTCCATGTCCAAAATTCAGACGCTGGCCCATCTCTGAGCAAGACCTGTGATTGCTGATACCAGCACCATGCCAAACAAACGCCATGCTGTTTGAGTTTGGATAATTCTAGATTCTACAGACTCAAGTGATGGATTGACCATCAGCACAAGCGGGGTGCGGGCCTGCGCGTCGGCTTTAGTACACAGTTCCACCGCATGTGATGTCAGTTTTGGGGTCGAGTCATTTGTGACCGTTTTTGTTTTGTGAAATCGTGATCTCGCTTAAAGCGTCCTGACACTTTTGGCCCTGAAACCTCACACTTTAAAAATCTAAGCCACAAAAACCTGAGCCCCTAAAAACTCTAAACCCTAAAAAGCCTAAACCTTGAAAACTCTTAACCCCATGAAGCCTAAACCCTGAAAAGCATGCAACTCCCAAACCCTAAAATAAACAGGAAAACCCTTGAAACCTTGAAAACCTTGAAAAACCCAAAGAACCCTTTTAAAAACCCAAACCCTAAAAACCCTAAAAGCCCTCAACCCTAAACAGCCTGACCCTGCACAGTGCACAGCAAGGCCCCTTCCTAACAAAAGCTGTATACCCCGGCTTCAGATGGCTTAAGGATTTGTAGGCAACCCCTGGGCAACCAAGTCACTACGTTTTACCATACATAAAGTTGTTGGCTACGCATCGCCAGATCAACTTTGTTTTCCACAAAGCCAAATCACTTGCCGTTTTGAGGTGTCCTGATATTGTGCCAAGCACCACCTTGGCATCCCTAGCCCTTACATAAGCCCTCAGGACGCAAGACAATCGCCAGTTCGTGTTTTGTCCAAAAATACTCGAGCGCCATGTGAAATGTTTTTGGCCAAGATAAAGAGCCGATGAAATGCTTCCTGACATACATCTCACCGAAACGGGTGCGGAACAATTACTGTAGAGTTAGTCGGTCCCGCCACCACGCTTGAAAGGCAGCCGGAGTAGTAATTTGTATATCCCATGTTCTGAACAACGGATCCAAGCGTCATTCCTGTTCGGACCGTCTGTAGATTGCTTGCATAAGCTTGCCATAAATCCTAAAGAGCCTACACACTGAAACCCCTCAATCCTGAAAACCTAAAGCGTGAACGCCCTCATCACTCAGACCCACAAGGCGGCAACTCTGAGAACGCTGAAGCCATTGCGCCGAGTAGGAAGCTTAAAAATCTCAACACCACGATGGCCCTTAAAACTGAAGTCCTAAAATCTTTACCGTCCTAAACCCGACCGCCAGAAATAGTTGCAAGCGATTTCTTGACTGCATTGGGAAAGCTTGCTAGTCACAGTACGGCCCCCAAGCAAAAGGCAATTTGCAGGCCATCCAGGAGAGATTTTGTCGCAAGTGATGTTGTTGTTAGTCAAATGAGCTGGATTTTTGAAGGCCCGAGTGATATTTTGTCGCTAGCAATGGTTGTTGTGTAACCACAATTGCGATGGGTTGGCCCATATAGGCGTTAAAGTCGAGACAATGGAGTGTGCTTATGGTTACGTGTGGAGTGCGGAACCTGACATGTACGCAGAGGGTCCGTCATGAACAGCTCCTGCCTCACATTCAGGAATGATACCAACCTCCCAAGCCTTGCAACCTCCATCAAAATGGAGGGCTTTCTGCTCATGGCAGTTTGGCCTGTTTTTGCTGGCTTGGGTTTCCAGTGGCACCTGAACGTGTCGGCCTCAAGCAAGACCGGCCCTTTGAGGCACTGCTGACGGCCAAACTTGGAAATGTGTCATGCATTGTACGCTACGAAAAAATATGCTCAGAGTTGATGAGCCTAGCCGGAAACTAGCACAGAAGAGCTGGTGACATCGTGTTCGTCAAATCTAGCCGCTCAAATGAAGATTCGGATTTGCCCACGGAACAAGCATGTGGCTACCCTGTGTTGTCGACAGTAGATCCGTCCGCATCTCGACACTCCTGCCTGTCGCACGTCCTGAAACCTCGAACAGGCCCACCCCCAAACCCCGGGCCCAAACCTGTCGATCGAAGGCTCGAAATGGGATTCTAAGCTGGTGCCATCTGGTGCCACTTTTTCTCACCGCTGAATTATTACTTGTTCTTCTTATCTCGCACGGTTTTGCTCTTTGCTGGCCACTCTCGTTTACGGGGCCCATTTCCACGTTACGCTGTGGTGTCCATGACAGTCTATTTAGACTTGGTACACGTAGAACCTTTCACGCTCGTTCCCCCCATTAAAAATGGGACCTGCCCCCATCACTGCGATCGCCTGCCAAATGTGACGAGATAAAGCATGGGTGCCTGCCAAGGATTCGAAGACCTCGAGTAACATGCTGACATGCTGAAAAACTGCGAGGTAACGGATTTATGAGCCATGGCTTGTCGCGCGGCCGCCGTCCCTATAAGAGAGGTTGTTCTCTCTGATTTGAATTGAGTAAATTGCTTGTCAAGCTCATCTCTAGTAAAAGCTCCAGGCAAGTAAAGCTGAAGTGACGCATCAAGGAAGCCTCCATACAATGACACAAAATTCATGCCTGCAGAGAGGCTTGACTGCTCGCCCCAAAGTCCTGATGGGAACGCTAGCTAACATCAACGCCAGTCTATCCCTTTTCGGGTTCCGTATGCCTCAGGAGACCCCTCCACTCCGCACAGCTCAGATGGAACAGTGGTTGATTTTAGCTGCAGGGCTCTGTGAGTCCCACCAGTGGAGAGAATCCCGACAAGCGGATAAGGCCGGACTCAACAGCTGGCGAATCTGTATGCAAACTTCCACAGCTGCTGACAGGTACGCAAGCTCACAGGTGGTTAGAAGCTGAGTCTCCCTCATACCCTCGCTGCTTCAATCTACGAGAAATCTGGATGTGGTCAGTGAACGTAGAGGCCACTTGTTTACCCCATAAGATCATGCGTGTTCATGCAACCGTGGAGGTTTTTAAGGGTATGCTGAGTCCATATCGGAATTGAAAATTGCTTCTGAGTGCCCCGACTTTAACCGTTGAACGTTTTCAATTGATCCGGAGACGCCCTTCACATAAGGCTGCGGGTGAAGACGGATGGCTCACAGTTGAGTTGAAAGCTCTTCCTCCCTTGGGATGGTAACCATTCATGCTGGTAATGAACCCTCTTCCCTCTTTGTACAGGACTCCAAAATCAAAAAGCATCGGATTCGGAACTAGCTTTCTTTTCCTCATCTAACACACATGAATCGGAAGAATGTTATGTTCGCCGTTCTGCTTGATAGGTATCAGTTCTGTCATTTTGCCCAAAGTGGCTTTAGAATTGCGCTATCCATTCTTGAAGCAGCATCTGAGTTTTACAACAACCACAATTAAGATTTTCAAGATTGGTGCCCTTGTTCGCAAACTGGTCACGTCCACAAATGCTGCTGCACAAGCGGCAGCTTGTCACTTTCAATGGTAAACTGCATGCAGTCTGTCCTTGCCATCACCTTAACAACTGGGCTCCCTCATTGCAAGTTGGTGTCCTTCATCCATGATTGCAAGTTATGGATTGCAAGCACGAACAACTACCATCTCAGAAAAGCGCTTTCCAAACTTAGCGAGTTTGAGCACTGTTTGTGTGTGTCAGCAAATCAGCCAGATAAAGTCTGACGTCCTAACCAAGTTTAAGCCGCACCCTGTTAGGTTTATGCACAAGAAAGAACTGTGAAGTTAGAAGGGTTTTCTCACACAGGCGCTAACCGCAAGAATGCTAAACTTCAAGACCTGCACTGCCCCTGAGTGACAGAGACTAAGCTATCCACGTGCATTGCAACATTCACCTCCAATGCTTACATCTTACCAAGTTGCAGCCACCTTCTATACAGCAGTTTAGGAGACTCAGGACCACGGTAGCACGAGAATTCTTTAGTTTAAGCGCCGTAATAACATGCAATGCCCTTTACATTACATGGCTACAGGCTACGTTACAAGACGTTTGTCTCGATCCGTGGGCCAAGTGGGTTTCTATCTTCTCAAATGGCTGTGCTTTGAATTCTGGATAGACAGCGCGTCGATGCAAATTTCCGCCAATTTCAGGGTGCAATTCCAACCACACATGTGGCGTGACCGCGCCACATCTTTCAAGTCCTCTGGCGGAAGATTTCCGACAGCGACATTCACTTGGAATCCGATACCTTCCAGAATCCTGTTTCGGGCTCGCGAAAAGAATCTGGCATGGAAGTTGCCAGATCAGCGAGGGCCTGGCTGCTGCCGCAATCTCCACCGCGTTCGGATTTCAGGCAATCTGACGGTATAAGGCCTGTGAAATTTTTGCTGACAATGTTCCTGCTGGATACCACCTTTGCTGACCAAAGAGATTTCGAGCGGATCCGTGCTTTTCTTGATAGACTACCTCTACCATCCGACAGGCCTAGCTGGCTGGCTTGGTTTCCTCCAGCAAAAGGTTGCATGCTGCTGGAATTCCCATCTCTGATCGCTGTTCCGCTTGTCAGCGTGTGGAAGATCATGCTCAGTTGTTTGTGAAATGCAAGGCAGATTTAGACACACGGCCAATTTGGAATTTGCGAGATGACTTGCGGCATGCAGGCCTTATGTTTGAGTCCCAAACTGTGCACAGCTTACGAACTAATAGGAACGATATGCCCGCTGATCTACAGATAGTCCTGGGGCAACGCGTCATGCACCCTCCAAAGAACATCCCTGTCATGAAAGCTGCAATCGAGGCTGCCAAGGAAGGTGAAATGGTTGTTCCCCAATGTGGATGACGATAATCAAAGCCATGCATTGAATTGCTGTGCGACTTTCTGAGTTCGTATCGGTTCTGAGGGCAGATTCTGGACTTCTGGTATGCCCATGTCCCCCCTTGCTGAGCTACAAACATTCATCTGTGAAGCAATGCAGGCCTGCGGCACTGATTTCGTTACGATCCCCAAAAGTAAGGTGTCTATAGCGGAGATGTTGCGGGTTGGTTGGGTCAAAGCACCGAGGCCAGAGTTTGGGCCCTTTCTCCTCCAATATCAACCCGGTACAACCGTAGACGGTCTTGTGGCCTTTCCCTGTAAGTTTCTCTCAGGCTTGGCAGCTTGGTTACATTGGCCCTGTCAGCTTCAGGCTCTGACGTTTGTGGACCGGCAAGCAAGTGTCTGCCAAAAAACACCCCTGCCTAGGCTCTTCCACCACCTCCGATTCTGAACGAATTGTCGGCAAAAAAAGCAAGACCACGTCGGAATAAGAAAAAACAAAAGGTATTCGGTAGATCCCATTGTTGCGAGTGTTCTGGACCACCGGGCATTTGCAGATTAGTTTGCAACGTAGAAGATGTTCTCGTAGGTCTGTGGCAGAGGAGCTGGGGTTTGCCACATCTGTGAGGGTCTTAAGCTTGCCATGCAATGCAAAACACTAGCTGGCCTACTAAACAAAGCAGGGTCCCAAACGAACGAGTAGACATCAGGCTAAAGCCGCTGGGCATTTAGCTCAGACAACAAGAAGCAATCGTTCTGAGCTATTGATTCAAGCAAAGGCCTCCAAGAACAATGTCATGAGTGACTGGTGGCAGATCCTGCAGGCAGCCAGCAATTGCCATACTAACAACAAGAGTCCGCATCAGGATATACTGTAAGCTCCACACTATTTCCACATCTGGCTGCCGTCTGGCAGACTGCTCCTGCCTTGCCAAGCAAATTTGTTAAGATTGACCGGAGGCATCATCCAGCTCTTTCATGTCCTTTTCTCCACTTGAATTGCATTGCGCTTCCATGCAAGGCCATTTGGCTGTACGACTGCAAGTCATGGTGTTCTATTGTGCAAACGAGTTGTCATGACAGCAGCACCTTGCTAAACGAGCACATGTCTGCGTTGCAACCAACACACCCGATCAGACCACGAGCAAGGGCCCCTCTGCCATGTTGGAGAAGAACCTGATGTCATGGGCTGCTAATGTTCTCACAACAATCGCAAACTAGAACATCGAGCGGCCAAATCTTTTCCTTGCTTGGACTTGCACTCAGGCGACCTGCACCTCTGCGCGATTCTGCATGCACCTATACTAAATGAGTATGAACAATTGCTCAATCCAGCAGCCAAGAAACACACACACGCGCACACACACACACACACGATTTCCAAGACAAGACTGGATCAGACAAAAAGTACAGCAGCCAGCACAAGTCAAATTTGCAGCTAGACACGCATGTAATGCTGGAATTCAGGTCAACCTCTTGCTGTACCGGAACTTGACAAATTTGAACCAGACAGGCCCAAACACTAAGCAAATGCATCTAGCTCTGCTCTAGCACTTGTCAAAGTGGAAGCCGGTCCTGGAAATCGTCAGCAGTCCACTTAAAACTGCGAGCAGCAACTTCCTCGCCATGGTTTCAGCGCCTACGCCTGGCGCCTTAAGCCTTCAGCGCGAATATGTCAATGCCAATTTTGCAAAAAAACAACCGGCGGCAAATGTTCAAGACTGTTGAAGGTCGAGCTGGCACATCGCAATGCATTTTCAAGCAAAAGCGCTCAAACAACCGCCATGTTGATGTCCTGAGAAAGGCTGCGATGACCATCTATCTAGCTGTATCTAGAGCGCAAATGCATGAGAACATATGCATGTGACTCAATCAAGCCAGCGCAAACGTCCTGTGCAGAAGCTTCCTCTGCGGACACAAATCGAGTCTGCACCGATCCTGGGATTGAAAGCTTTTCTGAGCTACCAAATTCCACCTCAATCTTATTCCAACGTGCAGTTGGGCATCCTCCTTTTTGGATAAAGGCGAAGAGCAAGCGACCATCAGGAAGCTTGATTCCAGTGGCAGACTCCAATTCCTCCTAGAGTACGATGCATTCAAGTGTAGATGTTGCTGAATGAACACAAGTCGCACTGCTGTGCGGCTTTTTCCAAAATCGAATTGACTCTCTCCGGCATGTCCTGTCCTCTGCCCATGTCACATCTTTACAGCCAGAGATTCGACCTTCCGAGCTTACACCACACACCTGCGAGCGACAAGCATGCAGCAATGCATGCGCAAAAAATGCCAAAAAATTGGATGCGAAAGGCCCAAAAGCCCTCAAAGCGAGCTGCGGCCTTCGCTGCACTCTTAGCTCCGGTGGGCTGCAAAAAGTAAGTGAAGGTGCTGGGCGTCTCTGAGCCGGCCGGCAGTGATACAGCTCCAACAATTGAGTTGTAGCCGGTGCTCAGGACCTGCGGTAATGAGGAAAACTGTGCATGCCCTGGCGGAGGAGACGTCTTAATCTCAACCGAGCAACAACTGGATCACCAACTGCAGCCATTTGATGCGAACCAGGGTCGACGTGAACCAACGACAGCTTGGTCTTCCTCTCCGCACCAGAATAATAGGAGTAGGCAAAGAGGTTCTGGGAGACCAGGGCCTCAGATAGTCTGTCTGTAGATATGAGACAACATGAAAAATACTGAATCTATGGTCCTTAGGCCCTCAGTAGCCCTTCGAGGGAATGGTTTCTTCTTCTTCTTCCCTCTGCAGCTTGTGCATTTTGACTTGTCCAGAGGCGCTCGACTCATCTCAACCCTCACAGAGTTTGCTGCGTGAAGTGTGAGCCGACCCCCCCAGCCTCCTACAAGCAGTTTTGAAGTTTAGAATTTAAAGTCGTGGCGACTGCTTATGACATTTGGGGAAGACATGTCGCAGTTCAATCAATGTCCGCAGGCTAAGCACAGCACGACATCTCGATGATACATATCCGGGTGCTCTGGTTCCAAAGCAAACTGATGAGGGCTCACAATCAGCAGGTCATCATCCTTACATTGTAGATTTGCAGGATCTCATAGGGCAAAAACACGAAAAGGGAGAATGATGCCCAGACTCGGAGACTCTCATCCAAGTAGCCGACAGCTCCTAGCAGCGAGCCAGGGAAGCAATCAAGGAAGCTAACAGGTCGAAGCGCATCATTGAATACTGACCTGCAAATCCATCGTTCACTTCTTCGTTTACGTCTCCTTGGAGGATTGGCCGATCTTGTGACCCTCAGGTTGTTGACGGTACGCGACCACAAAAGAGTCCTGCGGCTTGCCCTTATCGCTACACAAATGGATTGCTGTGGAATACGTGTCTTTCTGCACCTTCATGCACAGAACGTTGGGGAGACACACTGTCTAAAGTTGTGGCATGCCAGATTCTTCTCTTCAACTCCTCGCTTAGCTTCGTGGCCGCGATGTGAGAAATTGGGGCCTCCCCCTCAGTCATCCAGAGTCAGGCAGATGCAAACAAACTGCATGGCACTTAGGCATTTCCCAGTTGCAACCAAGCAACTCCGAAATGGTACTTGCCAAGCAAGCTGAGCCCGTCTGCATGGACTTGGACCAGAAATGCCTTGCCTGGCGTCTTGTCATAGCATGTCACAGCATAATGTCCTCCATAAGTTAGGACTCAATCATGACCTAGCTGTCAATGCACTGCTCGTTTTAATGCCGAGGACCAAAGACCATACGACAACCACTCCACATGACTGCTGGTTCTTCACATCCATTACATTTTTTCGAACCCAAGAAGAAGATATCTCAGTCAACACGAAAAGACCAATGACGTGTAGCTGCGAGCGGTCACAAAACAGCTTCAGCATACAATTTGGACCAGGCCACCTGCAGCCTTCTCATCCACGGCAGCGTGCAGGCACACTGCACGTGATGCCGACAACGCCACCAACGACACTCGCCTCATCGATGGCAGGATGCAGTTCATGGAGCTCAAGCATAGCAGGAAGCAATGTTTGATTTTCGACTGGCTCTAGAATTTCTATGTCAGCTACCAGTGCTCCTGCGCTTCAAACAACTGCTTGCAGCAGAGTATCTGCTGCATTTTGTGATGAAGTAAGTACGGCTGCCCAATCCGCACCTGTCTGCGATGGGTTCGACAGCTCTCACCCGACAGGTCAAAAAGCAGACCAACCTTGAAGCCAGTGAGGTCGGTACTGTCCAGCTGGCCACTTACCAAATAACCTGCTCTTAACACGACCCTCAGATGTCAAGGACACTACGGCCTGATCGACCCAACCTGCCTACACCGTTCTCTTCTGCATCTCTGTATGCAATGAGCAACCGGTCGTTCAAGCCAACCTTGCCATTTCCCGGCATTCAGAGTCATGCTAGCCAACCCAACTAGCCGAGCAGCGACTGTAGGCTCGAATGCTTTGGACTCAAGCGAGAAAAGCTGCCAATCGCCCCACATTATCTCATTGGACTTCACGCGTCCAACGGTCAGGAAGCCCTGGTTTCCACGCTGCCTGATTTTGAACGTCCAACGGCAGAAGCAGCTTGCGCCAGAAAAACTTGCTGCGAAGGCAGGAATTGAATTGAGTGGTGTATTGAGGTGCTCATGTAAAGGATGACAAGGACCTAAGCCTTTAAAGCTCTGAAAGCTAAGTGTCTCGTCTCGAATGGCCACCAACAAGCCTCGCAAGCTAGAAGAGAGATGATTCCAAAATGCATCCTGCAACCTGCATGTTTCTACAGCCAACCGGAGGGATGCAATTCCTCCAGGCCGGAACAACCTTCAACAGGTGTTCTGTACATCTTCAGTGACTCTCAACTTCAGGGGCTGTCATGAGCACAGGCGAGATATGAGGGATGTACGCATCATTGTGCATCTGTTGGGCGAAAGAACATGAAAGCTACCGTCTCCTCCATGAAGCATGTTCAAAGTTTGTTGCAACAAGCAGCCATCGCGTCCAATGAGGGAAAGGCCTCAATCCAGTACTTTGTCAATATTGCTTGCCCCATGACATGCTGCAGAACCTTGTCAAAAATGAGCTCTGGACTCACGTCGCGCGCGATTATGGGATCTGGCTTGGTTCCACTTGCTGAGTATGGCACGATCAGCCTGGGACATGATGTTTGTAAATTCACTCCGAAACGGAACATGACTGCTACAATGTTGCTGGCGCGAAGCTGCGGAGAGTAAACAGTGTCCGCAGTGCACTTGGATGGACGGCAAGTGAAGCCATCTCCACTAAAGCAAGGAACCTTAGCACCCGAAAACATTGAGAGGGGGCCAACCCAAAACGCAACACAGCCTAGAGATGTTTTCGTCACAGGCTCTCAACTATGACTAGAACAGAAACCGGCCTCATCCTGCCTCCCATTTGCTATCCAGTCACACATTCACAAAACGCTCTTCCATTCTGATGTGACCTTGCACGAATGTGCTCATGCCGCATTTCCAAGAAGCTTTCACGGCAAGATCGCACTGTTTCGTCCCAACCCTCAGTTTTCCTCAGTACCTGGCTTACACACTGCGTGATGTCCACATGTGAGAAAGTCGCAGCTTGGGGCACCACCTGTGTTGCTAGACACGCCAGTGTCTGGTGCAGTTTGAAACAAGATTCTTGTTTCCCTGCCTGTGGACCCCGAGGCCGCGCGCACCGTGTGGTAATACTGCATTGCCTCCAATGAAGCTGCTTCTGCCTCCATCCTGCCATGATGCGAAAAGGTTTGCCATGGTGTGCCCCAACGTCAAGAAGGAAAACCAAAACACCAGTCCTTTCCATCTCGGTGCTTTTTACAGTATCTTGCAACAATTTCAGATCCGCTGACTCCTTGGCGAAAACTTGTTTTGGGAATGCCTGTGCTTGGAACGGATGAAATTAAAAACGCCAAGCAGCACCCATGGTTGCCACTTTTCCCCGGAGCCGTTTCAACTCGCTGTTGAAATGCTCGTGGGTGACATAGCTTTGTTTCTTGACGAAAACCTCACACGAACAAACCACAACCCTAGTCTCAAACTGTCCATGCGGTTCATGACGGATTGCATGAATTCTAGACCCATCCTGCAATTTATCCAACATTTCAGCGACGTAATTCACGTCCAGGTCCTGCATGAAGCATATTCGCCCCATGTTTTCAACACGCATAAGCAAGTTAGCTGTCCTGTTGCTGCGCATGGGCGTCATTGGCATGCATCGCAACAACTTGACATGTCAGGACCGAAAGCCACATTACCTGCGCTGGCAACAAGGCGTGCATGACAGCGCAAAACCATCAGGATGCGCCTGAAAACAGCATGCTGCACGTGCAGGTGCAACAGCAGCCATGGCAAACAACAGGCGGCTGCCTCTGCAGTGCGCAGATGCCGTTAATGCAAACAGTTCAATCACTGCCGTCCAGCTGAACCCCAACCTTGCCTGCAGCCCACCAAGCCGGCCTCGCCAAGCAGCGAGGCAGGCAATGGCCCGCGAGGGCCTTTTTGAACATGACCGGCCATCAGGCAGCGGCAACCAACAATTGTCTTCCACCTACAAATAGCTCAAACAACTTGTTGCTAAGTTGTTGCGGGTTGAGCCTCCCCCCAATTCTTCGTAACACAATTCATGTACTTATCCAGGCATCAATCAGAACTGACCAAGTACAAAATGTCATAAAAATCAATCCTGGTCAGCTTAAAGGTTCGGTTTGGGGCGCGGAGGTTTGGCCTGGGGGTCTACCATGATTGGCGGTTGCAGGTTCCCCAAGATCTTGCAGCTAGACCCATCAAGGCAGTTTAAGGCCCAGCTTGGAGCCTCCGACCCACCCTTCAGCCCCCACAGCACCCTCCCTCCCCACAGTCCCATACCCCGTCGTGCTGGCGATCACTTTTTTCAGCCAACATCACCTATCACGTACAACTGCATTTGCCATGCATGATTGAAACCTTATTTTTGCCAACATGCATACGCACATTATCAAAATCCCATATGACAAAATTATCTCCACACCCAAGTATCAATGATAAAATCAATCCCATTCAAAGATGATATGCAATTTTTTACACATTCACTTGAAGGACACCAGCGTTTTGGCACGGGGCACTCGCGTGAAGTTCCGAAAAAGGTTTCTTTGGGCTGCTGGAACACACGGCATCAGGCAGATACCATTGCACACAGGATTGGTCAAAAGGAACGCCAGAAAGACGCGTATACCCCCGACTAGGGCCTAGGGAAATCCAAGAAGTCTCCCAATCCGACAGGGACAGCCGACAAAACAAAGGGCAGGAAAGGGTGGGACAATAATTTTCTGGCTGACCAAGCGAGAGCTGCAGCATGACAAAATGTGCCTGCCTTGAATCAATGAAAACATGCCAACATGTACCGACATGGTAAAACGTAGGCAAGTCAAGAGCATGGAGAAATTGGGCATGGATTTTGGACAACAAAATCTGCCGGGGAAATGGGAAAGATGTGCTGAAATTTTGGACAACAAAATTTCATGCATGTGAAGAACAAAGTGTTATTCCCCCTCCGGTGGGAGAAAATCCTTATTCTTTCCAACATGCATACTCACATCATCAAAATCCCATATGACAAAATTATCTCCACACTCAAATATAAATGAGAGAATCAATCCCATTCAAAGATAATATGCAATTTTTTCAGCACTCACTTGCAGGGCGTTGTTCTGCGTGGTTGCACTGCTCCTGTCCAAGACCTACCACAACAAGCAAACCGCAGTAGCACTCTTTTTTCCTTGGGTTGCTCTGAGTGTAGCTTTCAGGAAGCTTGGAGGCTAGAAGGCTGCAGGCCATCCTGTCCATCCGTTTTCGCCCCAGCTTTAGTGACTCAGAGCAACCCTGTCCCTGCGGGAGGCTGCGGCCTTTCCCCTGACGTCCCCCTCCGCGTGGGGGTTGCGTGCTGGGAACTAAAGCTGAGGCTCTGACTGTACAGCGGTGGCAATGGTGATTGAACTTCAGTGCTTAGTATAGGTCCTGAAGTCCTGCAGGGCAGGGCGGTCACAAGAGCTGCTGCCAGAGGGCTGTGTTCAGGGCAGGGCTTGTCCGCGGCTGACCTGAACAAGCCAACAAGGAAGGGCTTCCAGGCAAAGGCTTCCGTGCTCTCATGCAGCTGCAAAGTCTGAGGACCTTTTTTGTTTTGGCAAGGGCTTGGCTTGCGTGGTCGCTTCTACAAAATTTTCCCTCCATCTGGCATGTGGATGCAAAACTATGCTTCTGGCTGGAAAAGTTGGCTGAGCGTGAAGCGGAAGCGGGCTAGAGGCTTGGACCGGAACCTGTCTAGTTTGTCCCCGCTGAGCTCGTCCGCCCACACATTCTTTCGGCCGGACACGTGGGACACTAGCACGGCTGCGCGTGTGACCAGGAGGCTACGAGGAGCAGAAAGAGGCTGAGAGGAAGGCTGTGGAGAAGAGTTTGTTAACTCCAGCTTCTGTGGGGGTGTTGTCAGAGCCTTCGGGCATAGCGAAGGACAAGTACTTATGTCCCAGACGACTGTGTGCCACAGGGCTCGAACATCCAACATGGACCAGATCTCGGAGAAGCAGTGTAGGCCATCTTTGGCGCATAGCCACCCTCCGATGCCGATTGTGTCTCCTCTCTACTGCCACGGCGTCTGCCGCTGAAACGCAGTGGAAAAGGCGAGGGTCTGAGAGGGGCTTAGTGGGGGTGGCTTGCACGCATGACAAGAGCCATGCGAGGGACTCCTTGCTGTCCTTGGAGAGGCTGTGGGGTCTGCAACGCGCACCGTGTGACTCTTTCGGAGCGCGGCAGAAAGGGCACATCTGATTTTCTGCGGACTTGGCAGCTGCCGACCTGGATGGGGGACGAACCACCACTGCCTTGGCATCGAGGCTATAAGGGAAGCGCTGCCACGTTCTATCCCAAATAGTTATGCTTGCTCACAATGTAAAAAGTATTCATCCAAATTTATCAATCTGAATGAAAACATATAAATTGGAACACACAAGAACGGACATCCTTTTGCTGTTGCATCGAACGCCACTCTTCGTTCTGACATTTGTGTGGGCGACACGTATGGCCGCCCCCGCACAAATGAAGGCTGTGGAAGAGAGGCAGTGAAGCTTGAGAAGCACGCCTACGGCGAGCAGAACAAGTGCAAAAGCCCAAGAGAGCTGTGAGGTAAAGCACGGCAGCAGCGTGAGGAGTGAAAGAATGCTGGGCCGCACACCCGGGCTGAGTTGATCAGAAGCGGGGCTAAGCATCTGCAGGAGATGCATTTTGATGCAAGATAGGCATCAGTAAAGAAAATGCATAACGCGTGTGGAGATGCATTGGCGTGAACAAGACCAAGTGTGCTGGGGCTTTGAATTTGTATCAAGAGCTGCAGCCGAACCTTGGCTCAGGAGTTCTAGAGATGCGTGTTTGGCTTGAACTTGAGTTCCAAGTGCGCCGGAGCTTTGAATTTGTTTCAAGAGCTGCAGCAAAGCCTCGGCTCATGAGCCCAAGAGATGTATGTTCTCAAAAGTTGCGAGAAGAGACTAGCGATACCAGCAGACGCCTTGGGCGCAGGCACAGCGAGCCCCCCCGTGTCGGTTGCTATGATTCAAAGTAGGGGCAGAGCCCCTGGCAGAGATGCAGCCCGACGCAAGTTGCCGCATTGCTGCGGACACGGCATACACGCATGTAGAGACGCACTGAAGGTGAAAAGGGACTGGTTTTGGCTGAGGCTCCGAGTTTGTACCAGAAGCGGCAACCACGAGTCCAAAGCGCGGGTTAAGGACTAGACCCCTAGAGTGAAGGCGGGGGTGGGAAGCGGGTGGGTGGAAATGCAAGGGCAGACCCTCAGCAGAGGGGCTGCGCAATGTGTGTATGGGACCTGCGATTGAAGGAAGCGCCAAGGTTTTTAGGCAGAAACCTTAAAGGACAAAGGACTAGACCCCTACCTAAGGGTGAGGTGGGCGGGTTGAAATTTTTGATTGTGAGCAAGCATAACTGTGAGCCAAAAATTCCAGCATGGAGACAAGTGAAATTTGGCAACAAACTTTTGGGCTAAAACATAGATGAACAAGTTCACTAAAAGTTCTATCCCAAATAGTTATGCTTGCTCACAATATAAAAAGTATTCATCCAAATTTATCAATCTGAATGAAAACATATAAATTGGAACACACAAGAACGGACATCCTTTTGCTGTTGCATCGAACGCCACTCTTCGTTCTGACATTTGCGCGGGCGACACGTATGGCCAAACTCAGATTGCTCCACACAAATGGCGGACGACCGAACTAGCCCGATGGATAAACTTGGCCGGCGTTTGTGATGGATCGGGGCAAAGGCCAGCGCAAAGACGTGTCTGGCGGGAAGACCGCAATGCGAGGTCGCGGAAGCCAGAGTGAATGCAAATCAAGATGCAAACGTTGGTGTGGAAGGCAGTCTGTGGGCAGTGAGTACTCAGCAGGCCTGGAGAGTGCATCTGCCTTGGTGTTCCTTTCGCCGGATATGTGTGAGACATCCAGGCAACATCGGTGGACAGCGGCTAGAAGAGTGAGTCGCTCCAAGAACAAGGCCAATGGCAAGCTAGTTGTAAAGCAGGCATTCAGAGCAGCCTCAGCCCCGGTGTTATCCGAGGCGGAGGGCAGGCAGATGGGCACCGAGCACAACGGGAGGAGAGACGAGGCCGCAATTATCAGCCCCCCTTGTGCGAGGGCTTCATAGCATGAGATCTCGCTCGCCATGTCCGGAGAGACGGCTACCCCCAAATCCCGAAAGTCTTGCAACGAAAAAGACTCGCTAAACCATAGGTGGCCCAATGTTGGGTGAGAAATGTAACCCCCAATGATGGCGGAAGCACGCTTTGCACTTGCATCAGCTCGCGCCTCAAAGGGAACTTGCATTGGAGCACGCATGCTGCGCTGAGGGAAGGAGTAAGAAAGCCAATCCTCGGCAACCGAGAGGGCCCTCATGGAGGGCGAAGACAGTTTGCGACGCGAGCTGGCGGCATTTGAGACCCGCAGCCAGAGTCGACGTTCGGTAAGGCGGACTTTGGCCAAGTCAGCCAAGCAGGAGATATTCTGATGACGGGCAGCCAGCAGCCTCCCCCCGACAGGGATGGCTGTGTTTGGAGGCTGTGACACGAAGTGCAAGGAGGCATCCAGATACCTGGAGATGGCGCGGGGTCAATACTGTAATTGGTGGCGGAAGGAGAATACAAGTCATAAAAAGTGTGCAGCATGGAACGCATGACCGGAAAGAGATTGCAAGCCCACATGGCCAGCCC